CAATCAGCACTGAATTTCTTAAGAATATCCTCGTTGCATATGGCGAAATCTTTCCATAATGATTGTATATACAACGAAGATAATCACCTTAATTCATTCAGTTTTTGGAAATTTGCATCAACATTCTGCGCGAAGCATACCGATTTTGAGTGACAAATTCATCCTCCATCTTTTACTATCATTTTCGATGGAATGTACTCCTTTCAATTTTGACATTACCATTTAAATGGTTTGTCAAGTAACAAATCGTACTATTGTAAATTGGGCCTACGACCAATGTTTATATACATGTCTTGGACGGAGACCATATCAAATCTTTGGTTAATATATACATATTTGATATCGTTCAAACAAAATGCGATTATTGTGCTTTAGGGGCCTCGGTGGCCAAGTAGTCTAAGTAGTTCAACTACTGTATCACAACATTGAGGTTACTTTAACTGTGGTATCATTTGTAAGGTTTATTGGCATAAATGCAGTCAACAAAATTAAAGGATAAAGCTATCTTTTTCAGGGTTTTTTTTAAAGAATCATATGCATAATATATCTGCCTCATAAGATTAAAAGGAACAGAGGGACAACAGTTGGTTCCTAAAGAAAAGCCGATTTTCTCTTAAAAAACATGTCCTCTTAATGTTAAAAAAATGTTGTCAATAAAAAAAACAGCATTTTGATGATGTCCGTTACAGAGATCTTTCTGTTGGAATCAGAGTGTTTTTATTTTGAAAAGTATGATTTGTTCCTTTTTGAAACAAGGTATTTATACCTGCGATGGCCATTCGTTAAGGAAAATAATGTTTGGCCAATTCTTACCTGTCTTTAAGTTTAGATGAAGGAATGCTAGTGTAAAGATTAGAGAAGTCAAATGATTTATACTACATGAATTGTGTATTGTATACTGTTGTTTCTCTTTAGATCGTTTTTCGTTTTGCGCCATGGCATTGTCAGTTCGTTTTCAACTCATGAGTTTGAATACTCCTTTGGTATCGTTCGCTTATCTTTTGCACGAAGAGAAGAACTTTCGTTGTTATATTCTAACAGATCGTTTGAATTTTTAAGCACCCACATCACATTCCCACCACCCTAGAGTAGGTAGATTCACAGTAGCTATGAAGCCCAGTTTTAATTGCTGATAAGATAGAACTTAATACTTGTAATTGAAAAGGAGGTTTCCTGAAACATTTGACAGTCCAAGTACTATAACGTTGTAAGTAAGGACAATCTAATGCATTCTGGGTAATATTATTAAAAGCGTACACCAAAGCGTTGTAATTGGTTTAAAACGTCCTAAACAATGGAAATTCAACCAATGACGTAACTTTATTTTCATTTTGGTGTACGAAAAATGAGATTACCATAGTCCTTTAGGTTCTGCAAAGGCGAATTATGTAACTTGAGTATCAAGTAGAGAATGGAAGATCCAGTTCTTCGTCATTGGTTTAAATTTCACAAGAAAACATACATTAAACCGATCTATAATTGTTCAGGATTTACTACTCTTTTACAAGTGTCGTGAGAGTATATGTTGGGTTTCAAATTGAATTGTAAACCCCTAATTCATTTATCAAGCAGTTAATAAAATTTGATTTACAAACACAAACTATATTCTTTGGGGCATTGTATGCAGGGGACGTAAGTATACGTTTGATAAAGGTAGGATAAGTGCTCAGCAACAATTGTCATTTTTATTAAGATAGATATACATGTAACATGATACACGATGATGCAGACTTGTATTTGAAGTGAAACTTCCGAAATCGAAAATATCTAACAAACATTTTCTTTTTACCATAAGAGTTATATGTTTAACAACTCGTGAAAACTGAATATGTCCGTTTGTCGACTCTTGTTATTGAATTTTAAAAATAATGATAAGCTCGCCAACGGTTTGTGTCATATTACATTGAAATTAAATAACTTTACTCGAGTTGATATAAAGCGATACCCACTTCTCACTCGCAATGAAACCAGTCCTATAATTAAATCATCTATATATCGGAAATGTCATGGAATTGTAAAAATAGATTTCGATTGTGTGGAATTAAATGATTCCAGCCCGAAGTATCTAAGCTAAAATATACAATTCGGAAATCATTGAACTCGTAGAAATGTCAAAAAAAGCTATGAGTGTACTGTCTTTTATATGTAAACATGGTGAATGTAAGAATCTACATGCACAAGAAAAATAAAGATATGATGTAGTAATTCATCACATCAATAAATGAAATTGACAAAAAAAAAACAGCTCGACGTTATATTGAGCCCTTCAACATAGAGCACTGAAGGGCACAGATGCACATTAATTTCAACATATAAATAACAAATAAATCTTACAAACAAGGTTATTAATATGCTCTATAAAAGACATTAAAAAGTATGAAAATATTAAATTACACTGACACAAACCTTTTTGAAGCAAATCATATTGACCAAATCAATTTAAATATGCTTTTCGATTGCCATTACTTGAATACATCCATGCAAGTATACACTATTGTCACAGCCACTGAGTCTTTATATCGCACGACAGAATGATATATTCATAGAAAGAGACATTTACCCTCTCCAGGCACCAGTTAATGCTCCATATGACGTAAACGCAATTCCTCCTGTGTTTCTCTAGTTAGAATATTTCTATAGGTTTAGTTACTTTAAGTCTGCAATGTTTGTTTTTCGTTTATTGATATACTTAAAACAGACCCTACGTTTTCCCCTCTGAATTGTTTCAGTTTTTGCTGTTTGCTATTTAGGAGCATTTTGTAGCTTCTATACAGTATGTCTTTGCTCATTATCAACGGCCGTACATTGGCATGCAGTTGTTTACATCCTCTTTTGTCGGGTAATGGGGATGTTGCCTCATTGGGAATGATACTTCCGGTAATTATATTTATCACAATCAAAATAAAACAAAACATTTGATAGATAATAAAAAAAAATGATTATCATGGAAGTTAGTTATCAATGTCACATAAAAATGTACTGCTAGTATTAGCACATGTACTGTTCTACATGCTCATGTAAGTATATGTACAATCTTTGATTTAAAGTGACGTATGAAACTAACAATACACCAAAAAATGTATATTACAGTTCTGTAAGTAATCTCAAAATATACAATTAAATGATTGAAAAAAAGATTATTACAAAAAGGTTATTTTTCAAATGTAAATAAAATGTATGAGATAATGATTCATATAAATATGATACAATGTTTTCCACTGAATTGACATATTGCACAACATCCATTACATGTACCTGATAAAACAATTGTGGGTGTTTATATTCAGTTTGTGTGATTGTTTCAAGATCTGTATTTTAAATGTATGGAAAACATCAGCACTATCAAAAGTATACCGTACAAGTACAAACTTATGCTTTGCTTAGGTTTGTTAAATTATTTATATATTTGATGCATGAAGATTTCACAAGTGTTATCTCAAACGGCTAATACATGTAAGTTATCCTGAGCAGAGTAACAAAAACTTTGTAACAAGGCATTCAGAATCCACCATTAAACATTCTGATCTTTTTTTTCTATCTTCACTTCAGTATATTACGTTATTCAGTAGGTCTATCGTACCTAGATTCATCACTTAGTACTGAAATAGAACTATGTCTCACTCCATTTGAAACACTTCCGGAAGAAAAGTTACTGGTTGTGGATGGCGGATTGAACTGACCATTAGATTCAAACCCGTAATTTTGTGCACTACGCAAGTCAAGATGGTCAGGTATAGCATCTAAGTACGGGTCTTCTTTATCACAATTATCGTTTATGTGAAAATATCTCAAAAGAAAAATAACCCCACCAACTATGAGAACAACAGCTAAAAGTCCACCAATTGCTCCTCCGACTATTGCACCGGTACTTGGTCCTTCGGCTTCTACTGGTAGGGTGTCTGTATGTGAGGCTATTGAAAGAAATTGTAAAAATTACGTTTCAAAACACCATTAATAAAGGAAACAATAATAATTCTAAAGAGGTGTGTAGATCTGCATTTTCTAATATTTATTTTCGGAAATATATATAAACGTAAATAGGTCAATGTCAAAAGTACTTTGACATAATTACACGCTATGAATATGCGCACAGAAGAAAACACCACTAAAATTGTTTCGCATTTATAATATGTAGCTTTGATTAATTTGTGTCAATGATGGACATAAGCAAATAATATGTTTGTTTTTACTTCATATTTCAGATATAATTGTCTTATGTTTGTAACGTCAAATTGCAATGACACACTTATAAATGTTATAATAAAATAGGTTAGTTTGAAGGAGTGTGCATTTTTGCGAGCATATTCATATACTGAATTAAGTCCGACTTTTTCGTGTTTTTGTCAGTGCTTATTGTTTGCCTTTCATCCTGGTCGACCAACCGTGACGAACGATCTTATTGGATTAACTTTCAATATGTTCTCGTTCTAAATATGCACGACATACATTTCACTGGATGCTGAAAAACAACAATCAATCAACATCTACACGTGTCACTATGTATAACAGTGTATTGAATCCTGTCCCGTGTAAACGCACAGCTACGTACAATACAGATTTCCATACATTGTACTGTGACAAATTGTAGGGCTCCTTCGATTATACTGTTGCTAATTTATACATGTTTGATTTTCCTAAGTTTTGATTTACAACGTTTACAATAAATATTAATAAAAACAAGCTAGTTTGATAAGGCTAAGTCAGTATAATTATGCTTACCGTGATTAATATCTAATAAGGAGGGCTCAAGAGCTCTCTTTCTGATATTGTGTATTACCGAACCAAAAGTCAAACCGGCTTTGCTTTCCTCTATTTTAATTCTTTTCTTATATATTAGTGTTGATTATAATCGGGTTATGTCTTATAATATAACTGACAGGCCATATTAAAGGTACATGTATATAGCTGTTATTTAGATATTGATTGAATTATTTATTATTTTCCTAGATTTAACTTTTCAAAATAAAACAAAATAATTTCACAACATAATTAAAACATACCATCACAAATGTTAGAGTTTGAGTCTTTAGTCTTTCCAAAAGAGCACTCCCCTTTAATTCTACAGCAAGGTTCTGGAATAATTTCTCCATTAAATGTAAACTCACACCAACTACATTGGAACTCACTGTAGCAATCTCTGAGAGAAAAAAAAACACAATACTTAACATATGCTGATATTATTATGGCACATTTGTCTGTTCGGATTTACCCTATCATCTGTGTTTGGTTTATTTAATTATGAATTATCATTGATACGGTCAAAACAATAAATTAACTGTTTCAAAATTAGAATTTTTAGAATACTTAAGGATTTTCTAACCAAGGAATAGATAACCCTAGCTGTATTTGGCAAAAACTTTCGAAATTGTGGGTCCTCAATGCTCTTCAACATCGTACTTTATTTGGCCTTCGTAACTTTTTTATTTTATCGTCACAAATGAGTCTTTTGTAGACAAAATACGTGTATGGCATAAAAATTTTAATCCTTGCATCTATGATGAGCTTATTATTTAAAGGGATGATCCATTAGAAAAAACCCGAGGATCCATGTAAAGGGAAGGTATTCTAATCATATGGAACATAAAACCGTACACCTCATAAATAGAAAATATAAAGCAATTGAAAATGATATGTTGAAATAAAAACAAAAGTGCCCTAGGCGTTTGCCTAAAATTTACATTCAAAATGTAACAAGATAGTTGGAAGTTGTTATGTTTGCATATGTTTTCATATGGTGTTCGCGATTCACATTTTTGTTTTATTTAGTTAGTTTTATTGGTTTCTACAAACTGTGAAACCCTATCAGCTGACTTGTTATATACTCGTATGACGCAGTTCTCATACGAATCTTTTCAGAGACAAACAGAAAAAGCATAATGCAAAGTTCTTACATTCAAACAAAAGAGGCTGAAGATACAAAAGATACCAAAGAAGAATCAAATTTCGTAGAGAGCGGTCAGAATGTGAATTGTTTAAGGCAACATTACTTACCACACCACTTACACCATCTTTTGTAGTGGCAGTACAAATCCCCGCTATTATAACAATAGACTTGTTTGCAGATACAAACCTATTGTAATGCATGTGCAGTATTTGATATTGGACTTAAATCAAAATTCAATCAATTAAAGGATATTTATTTTGAAATTAATAGAAGAAAACGGCATATGATAACAAACAATATATGAATGAAAATCTGATCCGTACAGAATGCCTAATAACAATTTTAAATATTTCTTACTTTTTAGTCGTTTTCTCATTACATTTTGGATCAAAGCAAGATTGAAGTCCTGTCAAGTCTTCATTTACACTTATTCCGGATTTATCTAGTAATCGAGCACTGCAAGGCAAACTGGAGTCTCTGAAATAATAGAACATTGTCCTTATTTCAATTATTGTTAATTACATAGTAACGTTTTCCCTCAAAGCACACTACATGATGGGTGATAACGTTTTATACTGAACTTGAAAATGGCAGAAATGCATTTGAATGACTCTCAATAATAAGTGAATAGGGTACTTCAAATACTACGATATATAGCAGACAATGTTTGCATTTAAAAATAGAAAAATATCAGTAAACCAAGTGTCCAATAAATGTATCATACCATAACAGATAAAAAAAAATGATGAAGCACCAGTTCTGTCATACAAGTTTGATAGCCCATAGCTACTACATGAAATGATGCTCTTATAAAATTACAATGAATCAGTAACTGTTTTTTTTTCAACGTCAAACCTTACCTATGTATTCCAGTTTTATAAATTGATATTTCTTAATATAAAATCAAGCTTTACTGCTTTAAATAACACAAATCACAATGCATAATATTTACAATTTTTGTACATATGGAAAATCAAAATTCAGTTTATATGAATTTAGAAATTAAATTTGATATTGTATTTAGTATTTTATATTGTTTTAGATTTTATATTTATCACTAATGCAAAATTAATGCTAAGCTTCTCTGTTTGTTACATGCAAATAACTAAGTTCCAACTTAATCTAGATGGATTCAAATAGATGATCTCCCTTTTTAACCGAATTTAAAAGGGGGTATTAAGCACGACAGTATAAATCTAAACAGCTCAATCTGTTGTGTAGAAGTCATTTTGTCACCAGTGTATGAGCAGAAAATTGATTAACCAGGGTTATGTCAAAGAACGTCTCGTCCTTTTTCTAAAGAAGTTCATCGGAAGATACCAAGACCTTGTTGATAAATATTTCGTATCAACTTCACAAATAATACACGATGGTCTTGAAATATAGATTCTAGGTACTGACGTTGTTTATCATCTTAATTACGTGTTATAGTGTTCTTTTATTTGTCTTTGTAAATTATTTACGTTTACTGTTTAGTCAATTTTTGGTAATATCATTTTGGCGTGGCGCGGTACTATACATCCTGCCAATGTGTTGTTGTGCTGTGGTCATTTTTGTGTTTTTGTCTTTCGTTTTTGCTTATGTGCTTTATCTGTATGCCATTTTGTTTTTCTTTGTTGACATATTTGTTTGTTTTATGGGATTAAGATTATAACTTAATGTTGACTGCTGTACCCCTATTTTTGACATTTTCATCTATTATATACGTTTGTTTTGTTCACACATTGTTGTCAATTTAATGAAATTTTATACATTCATACTTTTCATACAAGTGAGAGGTTTAGCTAGCTATAAAACCAGGTTTAATCCACCATTTTCTACATAAGGAAATATCTCTACCAAGTCAGGAATATGACAGTTGTTTTCCATTTGTTTGATGTGTTTGAGCTTTTGATTTTGCCATTTGATAAGGGACTTTCCGATTTGAATTTTTCTTGGAGTTCGGTATTTTTGTTATTTTACTTTTTTGTAGCATTTAAACTATGCTCATATCAGACTACCCAAAGATAGCGTATACACATATTGTAGTAAGCATAGTTCTTTATACATACGCTATAGTTGTGGTGTATACGTTCGTACAAACATTATATACTATAGGTGTATAGCAGATGCAGTCACAATTGTTATTACACTCTCTAAAATCTGGTTGAACGTTACTGTCCTAAAATGGAACAAAAACAAATAAGAAATCTGTTAATTCTATAAAAGATATGACAAACCAACCAAGATATATAAGTAATTCTCAAAATAACGAAAACCGTTAAAATAATATGACATGTGACCTCTGACTTTTCACATTTTTATATTTTTTTAACTTAACATTGAAAACAAAATTAACCATTGTTGCTTCCGCACATGGTTAGAAAAAAAACAACATTTTCCGGCAGTCTTGGGCAATACAATGGGATGTATAAGGGTTAGTAACCTATATTGAAATAATACATCTTTAATTATCTTAACCAAAAACAATATATGATTCCGAAATATACATTCATCCCATAAAAATGAAGTTTTCTCCATAAGGGATTTTTTCTATATAGACATCATTTTGTCTCTAATGAATAATTGTCGCATTGGCAATCATACAATATTTCCTTATTTTTATATAATATGGTCAATTGTATGTGTATATCAAAACTTATCTAACTAAAATAAAAACAGAATGAAATATAAGATAATAGCTTGCAAACTAATATACATATTGCTTTTCTTGTTTCAAGAGTTTTGATGCTCATGTTTTATTTTATTTTATTTTATTGTGTTGACCATGGTACGTATTCAGAAGAGTTTGTAGTCTGATTAATTCTATACAGTAATGTAAAAGATGTCTGACTCAAACGGTACGACATATTGATATGTACTTAAGTACGTTTTCTGCCTTAACGGTTTTGTCTCACCAGGTTGCAGTTATCCACATAAAAACACTGAAATATTTGTAAAGAGACGCGAAGAAGCTTTTGGACTTTTCTCTAAATATTCTTTAAAACAAACATACATAATCTCTTACACATTTGCATGCTGATGATGTTGTGCCATCAAGTATTGATCCTTTCTCTATTCTCAGAATAAAGATATTTGTGTCCACAACTGGTCTCAACTCAAACTTATTATCAGTTTGGTCAAAACTAAGTCCTGTAGATCTACCAGCTGGTAGTGTAACCTGTGAAACAAACAAAAAAATAATCTAGAAAACTAGAATGTGTCTGTTTCCTAAGACCACAGCTAATTGTTTTCATCAAGAATAACAAGAATGCACGTGTTGTCGTTTGGCAAATACTCCACTCTTAATTCAATGTTTCGAAAAACTAAAAGTATGTGTACAACAATCGGTCATTTATTACAATAAGATTGAGAATGGAAATGGGGAATGTGTCAAGGAGACAACAACCCGACAAAAGAGCAGAGAACAGCCCAAGACCACCAATGGGGCTTCAACACAGCGAGAAAATCCTGCACCCGGAGGCTAATCATTGAAAAGTATCTGACTAAATTCTGTTCAGGTGTAGAAATACAAATTGACTAATTTAGCATGATTAGTCTGGTAAGGAAGAACTTATCCGAAAATAGTAAATATTCACACAAATTGTTCGTACTCATAGCTGTTACTCGAAGTGTGTAACATATTTGAGTAATTGTGGTATTTTATGAAAGGTAAAGAACATGGAATCAAAGTTGAATCCGTGTTGTATGTTTTTGAATAATAAACATGTTGTTAAAGAACTTGAAATGAGGATAGGTTTGCATGTTTCTTAAATCGGAAGTACATAACGTTTAGTGTCGTTATCCACACCTGGGAACCATGGTTCTCTTGAAAGCAATTCAAAAAGAGGGACGAAAGATACCAGAGGGACAGTCAAACTCATAGATCGAAAACAAACTGACAACGCCATGGCCAAAAATAAAAAGACAAACAGACAAATAATAGTACAGATGACACAACATAGAAAACTAAAGACTAAGCAACACGAACCCCACCAAAAACTGGGGGTGATCTCAGCTGCTCCGGAAGGGTAAGCAGATCCTGCTCCACATGTGGCACCCGTCGTGTTGCTTATGTTATTACAAATCCGGTAAATAGTCTAATATTTTGAAGGTAGCAATGGCGCCATGAACATGATGAAAAACATTTGATATTTTCAGTAGTAAACCGATTTTGATCTGAAACCGTCATGTTGATCTGAACAGCTCTTTAATGAATAAACAATAAATTATTTAGTCTGTCAATTAAAATCTGTTCAGTTTATGGTCAGACTGTTTAGTACTTCGTATTAACCTGTAAACATCAATATTATACTGAATTGTCTGCAAAATTACAGTTATAAAATTCAGAATGGAAATGGGGAACATGTTAAAGTGACAACAACCCGACCAAAGAGCACACAACAGCCGAAGGCCACCAATGGGTCTTCAACGCAGCGAGAAAATCCCGCACCCGGAGGTGGTCCTCAGCTGGCCCCTAAATAAAATTGTGTACTAGTTCAGTGAAAATGGACGTCACTCTAAACTCCAAAACATATAAATAAACTAAAATTTAAAAACATACAAGACTAACAAAGGCCAGAGGCTCCTGACTTGGGACAGGCGCAAAAAATGCGGCGGGGTTAAACATGTTTTGTGAGATCTCAACCCTCCCCCTATACCTCTAGCCAATGTAGAATAAAGAAACACATAGCAATACGCACAGTAAAACTCAGTTTAAAAGAAGTCCGAGTCCAAATGAATTGACTGCAAGCGAATTGTCCGAATAGTACTTAATTTACCGCAGTGGAGAAGTTTAAAAATTGACTTAAAGACAAGAACGTGACTGAATAATTATGTTTCAGACTTTTCAGTTGTTGTTACATATAAGATCAAAATGACCGTTTAAGACTAAAATTAATTTGCTTGTGAGCTAAGAGTACAAATAAAAAAGTGTTTAGAAAACATTTAAGTTCATCCAATCTATGGACAATCCAAAGCATCGTTTCTGAGAGATGCAAACATTGTTGTTATTTTTGTATAGGTTGATTTTATGTATATATCCCAAAAGAGAAGAAGGCACAATTTTTTCCACTAAATCGATACTTGAATCAAAATCTTTATCTACCTCTTATAACAATTGTGCATTTTATTTTGAACGTACCCTGAAGGATTTAAGTTCCTTTTTTGTAGACAAATCTTCGCAAGTGAGTGAGTTAAACACACCATACTGTTTCATTGCATCCGCTATGGCAGGTTCCTATAAAGAATTGAAAAATATGATATGTATTATGCATTATATATTTAACCTTCAAATGAAAAAAAAGAATAAAAAAACAACACTTAATTTCTCATGCAAAAGATGCCGAATGGTTCTGAGATGTTCTATGTGGCCTTAAACAGAATAAAGACTAATGAAGACGTATTCTATTTAGTACCCTGAATTAATCAACATGAATTAATTTATAGCACATTGGTGTACTTAAACAAAATATTTTAAACGACGCATTCCGGATAAGCTTCCAAAAAATAAATACCTCTGAAAGATGCCAATAACAACTAAACAAACCGAGGTTCTCCAATTAACTGTGTTTGGCTTAAATGCATATTATGACGATGAAATGGCCATTGTCAGTCACGATTTTAAACAGTAACGGTGCTTAACTGTTTTCTTTTTTAAATATCAGTAGCAAAAACAATAAATACATTTCGACATGCACTTTGACATGATGACGATGTAGCAGAAAACAAACTTAAAAATTAATATGAACAGCTGAGCTTTTTCCCAAACAGTTGCTGTTAAAGATTTTTTTCACAAGTGAGTCCTACACTTTTAAACTGTGATTTATCTATGATATTCAGATAGATCCCACAACTTTTGTGAAAGTCAATTATCAACTCGATATAATACTCACTAAAATAGTAATGTGCTTAGGATCATCAAAATACTCTGGTTCAGTAGTTTCTTTAAATGCTTGGTGCATGACAAGAAACCCACTATCGTCTATAATCATGCATCTGTAAAAAAGAATGTATCATCTATGATCTAAATGTAGGCTATTCAAATATAGATATATGTATATAGTCAATCCTTATAGAAAGTTTTAGAATATGTGAAAAAAAGTTTAAATTAGGGGGAATATATAGTTGCATTTAGCAGTCCCTTTTTCATTATCGACTACCAAATTATCTTATTTCAAATTGGAGCTGAGTACTTTCATGTAGAAATGAAATATCATAAATTTCCTGTTGACTTACTTGAAGTATCCAGATATTTTTTCTCGCTAGTCATATCTGGCACGTTATGGTTTTAATGCACTCTAAATACATATTTGATTTGGCCTTGAAACTGTTTTGATTCGAGCGCTACTGGTGAGTCTTTCGTAGACGAAACGCGCGTCGGCATACCAAATTATAAGCCTGGTATATTTGATAAGATTTTATATATTGTATGTCAATTTGGTCCTTTTATTTTCACACGTGTTTGGCGTACCCGGTGTATATTTTATGCGCACCCGGTGCAGAAAAATAGTACTGTTAATGTTATTATAAAACTCACTTGAAGTCCTTTGTCGTACAAACAGGATATATGTTATCAATAAAGTAACTGAAATATTGTAAGGGAAAATCTGTACCAACTACTGCCGTTACTTGGTTTGAACTATAAAAGAACACAAATATGTAACTATTACTAAAAAAATATATATCTGCCTTCATGGGTATATACTTTTATATAATATGTCTGAATCTACTTATTCATAATCTGTCCAAAAGTTGTCCCTATACAAGGAAAACTAAGAAAACTAAATGGAATTCCTGTAGGTTAAACGAATGAATTTTCTTTTAAAAGAAGAAGTAAATATAAAAACACGTCGAGTGTGGTGAAAACAATATTTTTCATATGATGAATATCGTTGTTCCTTTATCAACAACCCCAAGGGTGACTAGGGTATAGAAATATGGTCATTTTTTTGTCTCCTTAAGCTTTCGACCAGCAGTAAAACCCTTGTCAGTTTTGTTGTGCGGGATGTATAAATACGCAGCCATGTCCGGTCATAATGGGAGCGTTAAATGCAATTCATCGCGAAGAGGAAGTGCCACGCTCTCTGTACGTTCAGTTCAGAAACCTTGCAGCAATTTTTTAAGGGTCCATTGATGGCCTGTTTAACAATGATAAATGGCATGTCTTTCCCCATCTAATATACCATCATTTTCCAGTAAATGCCATATACTCGCTCGACGCCTATTACACCTTTTGTATTCATCGGTAATTTGTTTTCGTCCTGACCATGCATGGGATATTTGCTAACGGACATTGAGCAAATAACAACCACTCCTTTGTCAACACCAATATAACAAAAAGGAGATGTAGTAGGATTGTCAATGGGACATCTAGGCACCAGAGTTCAAATTAGTGGATATAAGCAGTTATAGGTCACCGTACCGAATGCATGTCCACTTACCAGCTTACAGTATACCCCAAAGGCAGCATTATATGCCAGTAAACAGTACGATTAACAAAGTTTTTATATTCGCTTATTTAATTTAAATGCACGGCATCTTACTATTAATCAAAATGAATTTTATATTAACTCTATGTTTATGTTTTTTTGAAATATCAATGAAAGAAAGGACATACTAGTATGCGTATACAGTTCGTTTACCTATATTTTTAGCGGAAAACTATTGTTTAGTTAAGTTGATGTACGTTTTCGATTAATCCATAACAAAGCAATAAATTATAACAAATATTGCAGATAGCAACAAGCGACAATCACCGAATTACAAGCTCCTGAATTAGGATAGATACATACAGAAAATAGTGGAGTTAGACATGTTTGTTAGCGCTCAACCGATAACTATTTTTTTTGTCAAAACATATTCATAGCAATTAAGGGGCCTCAGTGGACAAGTGGTCTAAGTAGTCGAACTACTGTATCACTAGCCTGTCAACACCGATGATGTGAGTTCGATTCCCGCACGTGGCAAATTGACTAGGATTGTCAGTTTTCCTACCGAAGGTCGGTGGTTTTCTCCGGGCACACCGGCTTCCTCTACCAATAAAAACTGACCGCCAGGAAATAGCACTATAGTGTTGAAAGTGGCGTTAAACATCAGTCAATCATAGCAACTAAAGAACTTTACAGCCCCTTTAATAACTTACCTTATTATTAAGGTCAGTTCGAAAAGGTATCTAGGAATAATTTTCCGGCTTATTGAAAAATAATAAAACGTTAACAAAAATGTATTTTGAAACCCATTTGTTCAAAAAAAATTTAGTGTACAGTTTGTGCTTTAAAATTACCCATGTCTTTGTTTTATTGATATTTTTCGGTAGCTTTCAAATTGACGCGAAATCTTCTTTCATGGAGTAAAAACTGCTTCTACTGATGCAGTATTCGACAATAATCTTATCCATATACATACCCTCTCTTGTAAATAGTGTGAGCCAATGTCAAAAGGATTCCTGATCCCCAAGCGTCCAGATATGGTGAAGTAATATAAATCATTCCAGGGTGGGATGTAGTTTCCCTCCACCTATTGAATAAGATATATAGAAAATCCATACAGCAATAATAGTAATAAACCTTAATCAGTTAATCTGGAGTTTATTGCATTGTAGTCGTGGAATGTTGAGGTTTTGTGTCTAATCAATACTCATTTTGCACCTTGAAACTTTTATTTACATGTAGAAGAGAGGCGAAAGATACCAAAGGGACATTCAAACTCACAAATCGATTACAAACTGAGAACGCCATGGCCAAAAAAGAAAAAAAAGACCAACAGACAATCAACAGTACACAAAACACAACACAGAATACCAAAGACTGAGCAACAAGAACTCCATCAAAAACTGGGGGTGATCTCAGGTGCTACGGAAGGGTAAGCATATCCTGCTCCACATGTGGCACCCATCGTGTTGCTCATGTTAGTACAAATCCGGTCATAAGTCTAATTCGGTAGGTCACATTCGGAGAAAAGGAGACGGGATTGTAGTTACGACATTTGGAACTCGGACTCAGAGATGCCATCGGGACGTTGAATTGCAATGGGCACGCTGAAGTGCGATGATTTTCGCCGAAATGTGATTGTCCTTTTATTGATAGTCTAAATGACGCGTGATGGCTAGTTTAAAATCAGCAGATGTTCAGTTATTATCATATTCAAGAAGATTTGTTTTTTGTTATTTAGTATATAAATGTGCATCCATTATTGTCCGTGTATGTATATGATTGAAATAAAAGAACAGTTAAAAGAATCATCACCATGCCATACTCCTGATGACCATACAAATTTGGATTATATGATAATCGTTTACTGTTTGAATATATTCTCGATGACTTGCTTATCAACACGAAAAGCTGCTTCTAACAAACAAATGGACTATTCATCGACACGTGAACATGAAAAACATTGAAAATATAGTTTACGTTATCCATCGCACTTCAGTATTACCTCCTACGCAATTCAGCGTAGCTATCAAAAAGAAGCATCACAATGCCACCATCGTACTTCAGCGTGATAAAAATACACTGTAACGTTAAACATTCGCACTTTAGCGTAGGCATCGCGGTTTGGAGTACCATCGAGGTTCACAGTCCTACAGTGGTGATCAATGAAGTCAAAAAGTACCTTATATTAAAAGAAAAATTACAACAGTATTATTTACAAAACACATTAGTGCTCAGTCAGTGTTTGAATGTTGTCCAGCAGCACATATTACATACAATTTTAAAACCATACAACAGGAAACAGGCTTTCTTTGGTACAGAAGCTGATAAATAGTAAGGTTCAATAACAACACACTTAACTGATGATACACAGCGTTTCCACGAAAACATCAACTGTATGCAAAATTCTACTAAATGATAAAAATTAAAACGAATTTAAATCGTTTTAGATCATGTTTACCATGTTCTTTTTTCGTGGTCATACGACTTAGTCAATGAAACTGCTGGATACACTCGAATGACTCCGGCTTTTGTTCCAATATATTTCCAAGCCAGTTGACTTGAGGGTTGCTGTTTCCAAAACTTTTCAGCTTTATACGTAGCCCAAACTGTAGCTCTGACATCATCCTATATTAGACGTAAAAAACATTCTAACCTAATTATAAACGTTGTCTGTTTTAGAAAAATAACAGGAATATGGCATACAAAACTATCATTACTAAAATAATACATCAAAAGTCGAACGGTATATGACAAAACAGGCAACTGATAGATAAATCAGATATTACTTATCGTCTTAAGGATGTTCGCTCCTTTTGGTTTTGAATTTTTGCCAGATATACGGAATCATCTGGTTTTATCCATGTAGTGCCATTAAAAATTTTGCCCACTAACCCCTACATTTCTTTCCATAATTTGATTACATATAGTTTGAAATGTCATCTTTGAAAATCTTATAAAATCCTTGTTATTTTTTCATAGTTTTTGGAAGAAAAAGGTGCCAATGTTAAATGTATGAAGAATCTAGCAAGAATTATTTCCCGCCAAATTTTCAATGGCTTATATCTCGAAAAAAAGCACACGGTCCGTGGACCCTTCATTTTTTTCTGCTTTTTTAGTTTCTTTATTTATATACAATCAATGTATAGCAGTCTTTTAAAAAGCTTGTTATTTTGAAACAGAGTAGCGAACATCCTTAAATTGGTTGCTAATTATAAAAAAGAAGATGTGGTATGATTGCCAATGAGACAACTCTCCACAAGAGAGCAAATGACACAGAAATTAACAACTTTAGGTCACCGTAAGGCCTTCAATAATGAGCAAAGCCCATACCGCATAGTCAGCTATAAAACGCTCCGAAATGACAAATGTACAAAAATTCAATCGAGAAAAACTTACGGCCTAATTTATGTACAAAAAAATAAACGAAAACAAAAAAATGTTACACAGCAACAAACGACAACCACTGGATTACAGGCTCCTGACTTGGGACAGGCACATACACAATGTGGAGGGGTTAAACTAATTTTTAACCATCACCGAGTGAGACTTATCACCGAATGTTTACTTACTAGAGCAACTAAACGAGGAACACTAGTGGATCAGGTTCTGTTTCCCTTTACGGAGCACACGAGAAAATCATTTTTTTTTAGTGGAGTTCGTGTTGCTCAATCTTTACGATTTCAATTTAGTGGTTTTTTTTTACTTGTTTGTCTTTTCCATTGTTTTCATGGTCTTTTTATGTTGCAATGACATTGGCAGTTTCTCATCAAATTTAGTTTTTTTAATGTCCATTTGATATCTTTCATCTCTGTATTTGTATTGATGAACATATAGCTTTATTTTTGTTGAAATGAATATAAATTAACGTTAACAAATAGCTATTGTAAACATGACGACAACATTTTAGCAAAGATTTACAATGTTATGACGAGGAGTAACAAAATCTGCTTAATCATCCGTTTAGCAATGTGCTATTCAATATATTGCACTGAATTCTAATATCTTGTAATTAGTGATTGCTTTGCAATTGAGGGTTTTTTTTTTTCTTCAAATTATCCGCTGAGAAATGTGTCAGTGTATATTTTCAGCTTCTTATTAACTTATGAAAAACTGTTATTCTAATACGAAGTAGGTCTTTTCGTTTTGCTCTAATTTGATATAGTGGCATTTACTTATTTTTTCATTGTTTGTGGCTTTTGCAATGAAAATTTTTATAACAAAATATGTATTACGAATTTTTAATAAATCTTTACACAATTGAATATACATGACTTACATTTTTAGTGAATAAAGAATAACAATTATGTTTCATATTGTTTAACGTCTGACCTACCATTTGTTCCCTCGTGTAATTATAGCTAATATGAATTTCTTAGTGAAAAACTATTTTGATTTCAGATATCTTACATTAAACCCAGGGTTTTGATCTTTTTTTCTAGTCAAATAATCTGTATACTCTCTCACATCCAGTCCAGTTTCTGTTTCATCAATATATTGAAACGGATTTGAAAAAGCTGAAGGCGTAAATTTTGTAGCCGACTGTGCTAAAAAACAAATGATTAATTCTATAAATACACATGTAAACAATTTTTTGCTTTATTTGAAGCTAAAACAAAACAATACTTGTTCCCATGACAATATATATATATATGGCAATAGTATTTGTAATTTTTAGATAACATACTATGGTACATCGTCTTTTCCTAGAATTTTACATTAGCGAATTATACTTTTTACCGAATTTATTCTTTCATCAGCAACACCACAGGTGCTACATGTGGATACGGATCTGTATGGTAGGTCAATGATATTGGCATGCAATTGTATAAGCAGTGGCACATCTCATTTCTGCAACCCCACACTTATGGTATATTGACTTGGAAACGTTAAATGTTAAAAGTTTGTGATTAGATCAGTTTACGATGAAACACTCTTGGTAAGACAATAATATTTGGCATGCAGTTTTGGGTTTTCAATGCTCTTTAACTTCGTTCTTACTTGATCTTTTTAACTTTTTTTATTTAAGCATCACTGATGAGTCTTTTGTAGGCAAAACGCGCATCTTGGTCTTGTGTCTAACATTTTAATTCTGGTATCTTTGATGGGTTTATTTGAATGAGCATTTGCACTTCTTATTTCAATGGAGAAAACATGTATAACAATATAAAATAACAATAAGGAGATAGTGGTATGATGATCAATGTGAACAATTACATATCGCTGATAGAAAACGACAAGCAAAAATCATACAAAAGATTTTTTGTCTTAAAATATGCGCAAGTGTAGCATTCCTTTTCTTGTACTGTGGTTCGTTTGTTCTTTTTTTAATCTTTTCGTTTTTAGTATATTGTATAGTTGAATGTTGGTATTCTTTTCGTCTTTTCATATTTTTGTCATGGTGTTGTCCATTTTTCTCCGACTTTTCTTTTCTTTTAAAATGGTCTCTGCAACATCTCTCACTAATTATAGAAGGATGTTCAACAAAATGGTGTGTAAAGCCACAAAAAGAAAACATACCTAGAGTAACTTTTCTATTATTAAATCTACAATTTGGCTGACTGTCAGATGTAAGACTTCGATTGTGATACATGAAAACATTGTTCAGCTCTGAGTTTGAAATATCAAAATCCGCTTCCGAGATGACGGTATGGGTTTCCTCGCCCAAAACAATACATAAATAAAATTTTGTATTTTGTACCTAAAAAGATAAAGTTTCAATAAAATTGATTCATCTTACTAAAATAAGAAAAACTTTCCAAGCACAAAGACGCACCAGGACTCGTACTGAAGTTTATGCGATTTCTATATTTTTAATCGAGTTTCAAACATCGGTAACTACTGTGCTGTAATGTCTATCGATTGAGATATGGAAAGGGATGACTTAAACGGCCACTATTAATCGAAAAATAATATGAATGGAAAGAATATTTGCCTTCTAATAGGTCCCCTGCGGACCTTTTATTAACAGTTGTTGAAGATTACCTCAACAGTACAAAAACAGTTGTCTTCACTCAAAGTCAAAGTAGTTTATCAGGTTTGACGGATCGAACGGAGCTGCGTATTTATACATCCCGAACTACCAAAGAAACAACAATCAACATAAAGGTTGGTTTTTTTTCTAAACCAAAGAAGACCAAGTAGGTGCTACGATACATCCTAGCAGAAAAAACAGGATAGATACTAAATGTAAAACAAGAATGCACCTGTTGTCATGCGAAGCATATCACACTTCCGTATTTCCAAATGTCCGGAAACAGGAAGTACATAATAAAAGTGTCATATAGGTGTCAAAAATAAGTCATACGTTACAACTGTCAAGCTTATCACCGTATTTGAAGCTGTTTAGTTCTGAAGTACGGGAAACATGTATGACTTAACAATTTAAGCATTTGAACATACCAAAAAATGTAGTGTTACACCAACTGTAAATAACAAAACTATCTGGAAGCGTACGAGTATGGTTACTGCAGTATACCCCAAGTCCCAATCGGGGCATAACATAAGGTATATCTTGAGTTTTTTTTTTTCTTTGTGGAGTATTACTACTAAAAATAATTGAAGAAAGTGTGTCTCTCTCATTTCCGAATACGACTTATCACTATGGTTTTTCTTGGTTACTGGCACCACGATAGGTACCACTAGCACATACCTTATCATAATTTAGGGGTTAGCATAACAGTTACTCGATCCATTTGTTTTTATGTGTATAACTGTGCGAACTGTTATTTCTCAATTTGTCCTCTTTCTTTTATTCATGTTGTTACAAGTACTTCGACGTATAACATTATGATTATACGTTGTATCTCCGTCCTTTTCATTAATGAATAGATACATATGAAAATACAAGTAAGATAATAAGATAAATACTTAAAGTGCTAAATAGGTACTTTTAAGACGGGTTTTGGAAAATGAAAAATCACAAAATAATATATGATCAATGCAAATAAATAATTGAAAAATGATAATTGAAACTTAAATATAATCATTGTCTAAATATAATGTTACTGATTTCAATATTTTACATCGTCTTTCAAGAAAAGGTACACAGATTAAGTATTTTATTAAGGCATATACATACAGGTCCCCAGAAGTACGTTGCTTGTAAGTATAAATATCGACTTCCTTCATTTACAAGACGTCCTCTAGACAAGGTGAAATAAACGTTTGGTAAAGTCTTCTTACCCGATTCACCCCTGTGTATGAAAAAATAGCGTAGTTGAAAAAATAAGATAAAACCTAAGTTGCATTAAAAATGCGTCGCCAAACCTCAAACACAAACTTCTTAAAATGTTGAAGTTTGAGCAACCTAATCCCCTCCAAAAAAAGGGAGCGAACTCGGTTTTATCCAGAGAAGTAATATATTCCTGCTTCACTTGTATTTCCTATCATGTTAGAGGTATGCTGCTTACAAGGAAGCTAATAAACCAAGAGTTCCAAGTGGTGAAGTTGAAATCATCCCTTTGAAAATTACAAACGCCATCACGAGTTGGTTGACCGTAATGGAATATATGTTTCACAGATGACGAGATATATGATCCAATGTTCGTAACCATAATCCCGTCCACTTCTCCTATAATGAGACCTACCGAATAAGACTTCTCATCGTGTTTGTACTTACATGAGCAACACGACGGGTACCACGTGTGGTGCAGGATATGATTACCCTTTCTGGGCACTTGCTGTTCGGTATGAGCCAATGCTCCGTGCTTAAGGCCGTACTTTGACCTATAATCGTTTTTACTTTTACAAATTGTGACTTGGATGGAGAATTGTATCATCGGCACTCATACCACATCTTCTTATATCTACCTAAGGTAATCCCAGGTTTTTGTGGGTTTTTTGCTGATCAATCTTTAGTTTTCTATATCGTGTTTCGTATTACTGTTTTTTGTTTTTTGATCGATTGGTATCTTTTGCCATAGCATTGTCATTTTTTTTCGACTTATGAGTTTGAATATCCCTTTGATATCGTTCATCTCCCTTTTACAAGTTTACACTTTTCATTTAGCATTGCTATAATTGTTAACTTTGTTATACATTGTGACTTGGATGAAGAGTTGTCTAATTGGCACTCATACCGCATTTTCTTATTTATATTAGCACAACTATGTACCTTTTCATGGAATTAATTATATCTACTGTCCCTGATGTCCTTTCTAGACTTGTTATGTCCACAAGTACGGGATCTTCATTAATTTCTACAAAGGCAGGCTCTGGGAGTAAGGGGTGAATCAAAGCTCTCCCAGTATTGTCAATCATAAAGCCGTATGATGAATTTCCCTCCTCAAAATATTCGACTTCCTTTAAAAGTTCGCTTAGTTTAACATCAGTGCACGATACACCTTGCATAGATCCTAACGTACCGTAGACGGTTTTACACATTGACGTTATTAACCCTGTGATACAAATCAAAAAGTAAGATATTTAAATTATGCAAAATGATGAACTTGACAAAAAAATTTCAGTTCTGGTTTAATTTTTCTGTCTTTCATTCATTCTATTTTTTTCGAACCTTTTTTTTCTAGATATCTTTCTTTGTTTCTCCCTTTCTTTCCTTTCTCCTATTCTCCCTTTATTTCTTTACATGTATTTACGTGTATACATTGTATTTAGTTAATTTTTCCGAAATGTTTATTATTGTTTAATTTGTGGATAGGTTTTATAAATAGTTTTCTTATTATTTCAATAAAATCTTTCATGTTTAGTATCGTTGGCTCCGATAATGTTGTACCTAAAAATACATCAGGTTACAAGTGAAATGGTAAACAACACATATTGTTGAATGATTCATATGTATGGTTTTCGTTTAGTTTAGTTGCTCATATATTCGGTCTGACTGTACTTCCGTAAAAGGTTTTTTTTTTGTGTTGATTTTTTATTTCAATTAGGTACGTTGTAATGAGTTCTAGTAAGCCATTTGGTCATATCTTTATTTAAGACTTAGTTCAATTTCAAGTTGGAAAATGCTACAAGTTGATGTATAAACGTATAAAAAAGCGAACAAGAAAAAATATTTGTTAAGGAGTACTTTTAATGCATCGGCATTGACATTCCAAATAAGCGAAACATAATGTTTTAACATTGCCATAAAAGTGCGAGGTTTGGCTAGCCACAAAACCAGGTTCAACCCACCATTTTTTTCTTCAAATGTCCTGTACCAAGTCAGCAAAATGGCCATTGTTATATTATATTTCGTTTCTGTGTGTGTTACATTTGAATGTTGTGTTTCTGTTGTGTCGTAGTTCTCCTCTTATATTTGATGTGTTTCCCTCATTTTTAGTTTGTAACCCGGATTTGTTTTTTCTCAATCGATTTATGAATTTTGAACAGCGGTATACTACTGTTGCCTTTATTTACATTTGTCATGTCGGAATCTTTCATAGCTTTCATTTTGGTATGTATTTGGCTCATTGTTGAATGCTGTACGGTTACCTACAATGTATAATTGCTAAATGCAACGTCATTTGGCCTTTGGAGGAAAGTTGTGTCATTGGTTATCATACCACATCTTCTTACTTTTATTCTAAGATATTAATGAACATTGTCAAATGTGTCTGCTTTGCTCTAAATTATGCCTAGGAGACATAAACACAAGGTTAACAAAATGCATTTTCAAGTCATTGGGTTTATTTGTTAAACCAAGATAATGTTAAAAATGTTGTCGACGCATTGTTTGTGGTTCAAATAATCAATAGAACATGTTTTGGTTTTCAAAATATTTGGCGAAAAAATGAAAGTCATACATGTATATGTTAACGGAATAAATGGAACTTTTATGAGTTATTTAAAAAAAAAATCCTATATCTAGATTTTGTTTTCACAAACACACATTATGATATTATAGTTATACAATTCAAATTAGAAATTGTAGCTGAAAACAGGTGCCGCCAATTGGCCTCATTAAACCTACTCAGATAAATCAGATAAAGTAATAAAATACCTGCCTCTTTCAGAAAACGGATCGACGTATGGAATACTGTATACCGGGTTAGTATTTATTTGACCTGATCGTAGTTGGACGTAAAAAGTGGCCATTTCCATCGATAAACTTGCATGTTGATTCTGATCAACGTAAGTAAAGTGTCCTTCCTACAATAAATATGGAGTAAATTATATTTTTCATTGAATAGAAGTGTTCCCGTCTCCATTCTCAATTTTATAGATTATATTCTTCATTGAACAGAAGTGTAGCTTGAGAACGGATATAGATTTATTTGCATTAATTATTACTCCTGGACTACATCGTCTGTTTCAACATTCATTGTTTTAACTAATTATTTTAGCATCAAGTTTTAAATAGACATTTGAATGCCAGTATAACACCTAGTCTATCATATTTGGGTTTTCTGTCATAACTAAAATACTAGTAATGCATACATTTTTTCTCGCGTAAAATGCTTTTTTTGTAAGCAAAATGTGTAGATAAATACCCGAATGTTTCCGTAAGATGAATTTGACTTCACTTGAGTTGCCATTTCTCGTAATTGTTGTTTTATTTCGTTCGTTGCACCTGTAAACATACAGTTTAAGATGAGTGTGAATGGTATTCCAAAGCAATTTATGAATTGGGCCTAACAAGCCCCAATTGCATTTTTTTTTTATGTAAATGTCTAGGAATTTGTTATAATACCTTCACGTTGAATATAACTACATACTATAAGGATTTCTTTTGTCCGTAATAACTACATGTGCTATGGTCATGATTATTTGCTGTCTTGGATATATATAATATATAATTACATTACATGTATGTTTCATAATAAATCCAAACTTTTGATTGGCTGACAACAGTCGCAAGGTATTCTGAAATTAGATTTTATTTTTCAACAACATGGAATATTAATGAATGCACGTGCTTCCCATGACAACGTCACAACAATGCATAGAAAAAAGCTTGTTATAACTCGTATTCAGGATTTGGGGCATAAGAATAAGATTTGACTAATTTAAAAAAAAAATCCAAATATGAACTTAAGAGTTACAAGAAGATTGAAATATCACAATCAATTTTAGTACATGACACACTTGTTACAACTTAGGAACGTCTTCTCAATTGCTAATTATGCACACCTAACTTTGCCATTGTGGATAGAATAAAAACCAATACGACAAGGGAGATAACTCCATCACAATGTACCAATCATTGCTCGTTCACCATTTTAATACGGTTGATACTTACCAGGACCAAGCAGGTATGTAAACACGATTACTCTGTTTTGTAATTTGGCATTTTCGTCCCTGATAACCTCCCTTGGATCTCTCCCATCATTTGATCCGCCATCAGTAAGTAAAAGTATAACCTGATCTTTAAAGAAAGAAATTGGTATATGTATAGTTTAGTTGCTGTCTCATTGATATATATGTATACACGACATCTCATTATATGCATTGCTTAAATGATTTTTTGACAAAATTAAAGTAGAAAATGGTCGAAAATACTTTTTGTTTTTGTTTTTCCTAGTTTCCCTTTTTGATTCATCAAAATTTCCATTACACATAATGGGAAATCAATCGTAAATGCTCGATAGATTCCGCTACCCTACACCAAAGTTAGTTTGCTTTAACTACCGAGGTATGCCGAATGTAAAGACAATACTCTGAAGGCTAATATTCAAAAAAATATTTAAAGGATATTTTTGTTTAATCTATACTATCCGTTTTAAATGCATATAATACGACTCCTTTTCAATGAAGCATACATTTAAAAATCAAATATCCGTCTCTTATCACATTTCGTTATTTAATTATTATGTAATGTTGCTTTATTTGATTTAAATAAATTCCTCCACCCCCACCTCCGACACGCAATGGTTTGATTCATAGATATTTACAGTACTCGTATACCATGGTCAAAGGAATACTGTTCTTGCACTTATTTGTCAAAATAAAAATAAAATAAATGGAATTAAAATAATACGTATTGAAGATTTTACAACAATTTTACACTTAGTTCTTAAAATCAAAAGGTTAGTTAATATCCATTTGTTATGAGAAAAAATAGCGATAACTACATGTACGCACAATTTAAGATATTTGAGTCTTCAATACATGATTGTTATATTAGTTGTTATTTTGGCTTTTAGCTGTCAGTAACTGCGATTACTCTAAGATCTGTACTTAAAATGTGTCTTCTTTGTTGTGAGGGATGTACAAATACCCTGCCACGTCCGGTCTGTGTTATTGTTGGATGTTTTTATGCCTTGTATTGATCTGATGAGTTAAGCCCTTTTCAACTGATTGTTATAGTTTGTTCTTATATTGTACTGTTAGACCACTGTCCCAGGTTAGGGAAGGGTTGGCGCCTTCAGACATGTTTAACCCTGCCACATTATATAAGTGTGTTTAGGAAATTCGTGATTCAGCGTTTACTTACTGGGATTTCGAGATGAAACCCCTTCCTAGCTCACCAATAGAAATTCTAAAGATAAGAATATTTTTTAATGTTGCGTTAGTGTGAAATAAATTCAAGGGACGTTGACCTTACTTTATTATTACCTGTACGTCATCTATTTACAAAATAATGTAAGTTTATTCAGTGCATAACAAGTAATAAGATGACATCTTCAATATTGTGTAAAATGAGGTTAGATTTTTTCATAGATGACATGATAATTATACTTATATTAGTATACAACAACATTATAATGTATGGCTTTTAAAAACAATGTTTAAATGTTAAATTGTTGATCAATTTTCAATGTTGTGTATATATTTTATAACACTAGCTCTGTTTATTTTGTTTATTTTGTAGATTTAAGTAATGTTTTCTTACGCTCAACGGTTCAATGATTTGACTATGAATTGCGAAGTCTCTAATGAATATAATGAAAAGTAAAGAATAGTAATACAGCTTCATCAAATGAATGGGTACCCTAAATTACAGAAAGAAGAGAAAAAAAAACAACACTTAGGTTAATCATTATGTCAATAGAAAATTTTGCCATCTTTTTTTTTCTCTTATTCTCGACTGATAGTTTATCTGTTGATCGATTTGTTTGGCAAATTACCATATCTTATATTACTGGGAAAGTCTGATGGTTTTTTACTGCTGTGCTTCTTTATCCATCTGCACGGTGTCCTATTCCGATAACCAAAGCGCAACAATCGGGGTTTTTTTTTCAATTTATGGTACTATAACATATTTACCTCTAGTTGAAACATCAACATTGTTGTTTGTTGATCCCAAGTAAGAGAAAGCCTTGATAAGTACGTTTTCAAAGTTTGTATCACCAGTATTGGATTCTTGAATGTATAAACTGACAAATTCCTGCAGCTTGTCAATATTTGTTTTAGAGGCAAATGACAGCGTGTCCTTATAACAGTCGTGATTTGCGTCTTCACCGGGAACACTGACTCCTGAGCTAAATGATATCACTGCAACCTAAATAGAAATGCGTGCTGTAACACTTTTAAGCATTTTGCTATGCTTTAAATGGATATAATTTGATTAGACTAAGCTCGGACGTTGCAAAAACTTAAGTTATTTCTGTCATTTTTAGCATGCATATATTCAGACATCATTCGTTTGTATTCCTCAACGAGACAAATCTGTACATTATATAAACTAGACAGCAATAAATTAGAACACTTTCCAAATGTTAACAAAGTAAAACGAGATGATTTCTTGCTTATGTAAATGTGTGTTGTTTGGTGTTACTTTTATTCTGTGTTGTCCTGGTCAGTTGTTTCCTTGCATTGCTGAATTTCGTTTCATGTCTTATTCAAATTTACTTTTATATTGCCTATGTTGCATCTCCATTACAGCGCTTATCAAAGGTACACATATAAAAAAGGAGATGTAGCATAATTACCAATAAGATAACTATCCACCAGACAAAAATAACGTGCATGTAATTCACATTTTCGAAATATCTTTAATTAACCCGTTGACCGCGAAGTTTTAAGAAAGAACGTCGTGCTGTACGCTGTATTTACTTTTTACGTTGTGCAAAACGATTTTAGAAAATCTCATCAAACTGCATTTATATAATTTATACCTGTCATTGTTAAAATTCGAAGGATCCTAGACTATAGCTTATATTAAGTATTCAAGTAATAAACCATATACTATAAAGGGACATATATGTCTGTAGCAATCTGCCGACAGGGGGAATGTACGTCTTTAGCGTCATCTGTCCACAACGGAAACTTTCGTTCCCTGCGCGGTAATTTTTTCCCTAGCGCTGTCAAATGGTTAATTGTATATGTGATAAAAAGGTCCACTTACTCTGTCGTTTGGATTAAGGGTTTCTATGACTGTACGAGCAGCTTCCTTGGCTATACTCATCTTTGATTTACTTGTAACGCCGGAGATCTGCTTCATAGATGAGCTTGAATCTATAAGAATCACGACATCTTTATCTTTTGGTGAAGCTGTGGCGGCGAAAGCTGACCTTAAATAATGTCATATTATTGGTTGAATGTTCATTGCTTAAGAAGTTGTAAGCCAATCAAAACGTTACGATGTACGCGTTGTTTGAAAATACTATCCAGAATGCAATATACTTTGAAACGGCGGACTATTTGCTCGTTTTATTTTAGATTTGTTTACTTTAACTGACATTTTGCTCAGCTATTTTCTATTTATTTGGTGTTTTGTTTTTTGCTATGTCCAGTGGTGTGTCTGAATGTATGAACGAATGTGTGCAACATTGAAGGTGCTACTAGTGGAACAGGATCTGCTAACCCGTATGGAATCCCTGAGACCACTCTTCGTTTTTTGTGGCGTTCGTGTTGCTCAGTCTTTCATTTTTTTGTGCAGCGTTTGGTTTGACTTTTTGTTTTTTTGTCGTTTTTAGATTTTTTGGCCATGCATGCAGTAATATAGTAAATATTCACAATCAACTATTCTGTTTCTATTACCTAAAGCGGGGATCATAGTTATAACAGTCATTCCAATAAGTTGATGGGTATATGATGGACACGCCCTCCAAGGTACCGTAGTGCTGCCACAAAACGTTCTTGTTTTGATCGTACTGCATCTTCATGATGTCGCTTACGGTATTGTGTGGATATTTGGCATCAGAAGTAGAACTATAAGATTTTGTAACACAGGCTGTAGAAAAATCAACCTTGAGAAGAAAATGTTTAACCTTATTTATTCTAACATATGTGTACTCAGTACATAATTATTGAAATAAAATGTGTATTGTGAACATATCTATTTGAATGGCATGCCACTTTAGAATCATATAATGTGGTATAAACTACAATTCCTTAGAATTGTCAGTAAGCGTCCCAAACGTTTTCCCGATGCAGTACATAGTCGAATTCCTAATCATATAGTTCATAAACGTTTTATTTTCTCGCTGTGTTGAAGACCCATTGGTGGCCTTCGGCTGTTTTCTGCTCTTTGGTCGGGTTGTTGTCTCTTTGACACATTCCCCATTTCCATTCTCAATTTTAATTTGATTGGCGCTTTTTGAACCCTTTACGTCTTTTTCTTGAAAAAATGTGTTTTAATTATAATAAATTGGACAACTAGAGAACAATATAAAAATAAGAAGTTGTAGTATGATTGTCAATGAGACAGCTCTCCACAAGAGACCAAATGACACAGAAATAAACGTATGTTTTTTTTATTTCTTTTCTTCTGTGTATATGCAGTGGGTTTATTTGAATTGCGTTATTCGTAAGATCAAATTATTGACCTAAAACCATTTTCTATACATGAGCAAAATGTATTATCAATTTCTTACTGGGTACCGGCCAGTAAACTGGCACAGGCACGATTACACCGATGGTACACTTCTCATTGAACCTTTATTGGCCTGTCTTATTGCCAAATCTTAAGATTTGAGTAATTACTTAATGATTTCTTATACGTGTGTCTCTACGCTTGTTATAATTTCATTTTGTAAATAAGTTCCTTGATTTTGGAATTACCTCTTTTCTGAATTTTGGATCATACACGTATGTTCCATGTTTATCACAGCAATGTGGAAGTGTCGTCTGCGTGGTGAATCTGTTTTCATTCTGAAATACTTCGTCTTTAACGGCGTCTAGAACATTCTTAAATCCAACAAGTGATGCTGCTAATTTGTCTTGAATCTGAAAATTAATGATCAGTTGACGATTTCACGTGTAATCTATCAAATCAAACAATATTTTACCACACCTACATGTATCATGAACCCTAACCATAGGAAAAAAAAGGGGGTTGAAATGATCATTTATAGAGCAACATTAATTGATGCTTATTTGTAGACTGTCAGCGATGACATCGTTAAATGATTGCAATGATACAATAGAAACCAGATGACGTTGCTTCATAATCCTAGTATTTCCACGTGTATGGTCCAGGACAGCAAGTAATGACAGACAGTAGCTGTAATGATATCTGAATGAAAAGGTGTGTTGAGGTGTTTGTTTGCAGGATACACACAGGGACGGTGCTCAAATGATAAATGATATGGTCTGTGTTAGTACACAGCAAACACAAAATACAACTCGTTGCTAATGTAAAAAAAAACCCAAGAACTATGATCAGCTTCCATCTATATAACAAAATGTTTGGTGGATGTAATCGGGCTTCACCTTATCATACATACTTTCAATATAGAAATAAGAAGATGTGATATGATTGCCAATGAGATAACTTTCAATATAAAAAATGAGGAGATGTGGTATGATTGCCAATGCGACAACTTTCAATATAAAAAATGAGGAGATGTGGTATGATTGCCAATGAGACAACTTTCAATATAAAAAATGAGGAGATGTGCTATGATTGCCAATGAGACAACTTTCAATATAAAAAATGAGGAGATGTGGTATGATTGCCAATGAGACAACTTTCAATATAAAAAATGAGGAGATGTGGTATGATTGCCAATGAGACAACTTTCAATATAAAAAATGAGGAGATGTGGTATGATTGCCAATGCGACAACTTTCAATATAAAAAATGAGATGTGGTATGATTGCCAATGAGACAACTTTCAATATAAAAAATGAGGAGATGTGCTATGATTGCCAATGAGAAAACTTTCAATATAAAAAATGAGGAGATGTGGTATGATTGCCAATGAGACAACTTTCAATATAAAAAATGAGGAGATGTGGTATGATTGCCAATGAGACAACTTTCAATATAAAAAATGAGGAGATGTGGTATGATTGCCAATGAGACAAATATCCATAAAAGTTCAAATCACGAAGATAAAGGCTATACCGGTAATAGGTCACCGTACTACCTTCAACAATGAGAAAATCCCATACATGTACCTTATAGTCCGCTATAAAAGGCCCCGACATACAAATGTCAATATCAAATTTCAATTGTATACCATCCATGTACTTTGAAAGATCAATGAGATTTTGTTTACCATTTAAACTTTCCGCGCGAGTATCAAATCGAGATCTATCTTGGGTGAGATGTTTTAAAAATGTCCAGTGGTTTATATTACAACGACCTTAACTGTTTATATATATCATATGATTTTTAAAGACGTCTTATGTCGATTGCAATGCACAAATGAGATACATGTATGTGTTCATTTAGGACAATCTTTTAATCAGTTATATGAAAGAAAAAGTATACTTGAAATAAGATACAAGAAAGAGGAGACAAATGCAAATATTTAAGGTGGTACCTAACACTACAGGGAGATAACTCTGTAAAAATCAGCTAAACGTTTTAATCACGTTGTATTGTTAAGGAAATATTAAGCTTCTCAATGATCAAAATTAGTGTTTGTCAAACTGCTATATAACCAATGAAATTTTTCTGATAAAGTGGTTGGTTCAAATTTTTTGAAATTTTTATATTTTTGTCAAAGGGTCAAAGTAAACATTTTGTCAAAATTTTAAGAAAATTAAACGAGCCAAATTAATATTAGTCAAGGTGTTGGGTACCACCTTAACCCGTGTCTCGTGGTTCATGCAAAAATTGATATCTGGTTTGCCAATGAATAGACTATACCTTTTTTTTTTTGATAAATGTATAGGTAAATATTTGATTGTACGAATATAATAAATTATACTAACAACAGGCGTTTTAAAGTTCGGTGTATTAGATTAAACAATTTTACAAAAATGTTTGCATCAGTTTCTTAATGACACTATTTATTGTGCGTGCCTGTGTCTGAAATGACGTGGGGAAATTAAAGATTCATGCTGTATTTGCACATTTATAAGTTGATTGAAGTATTTAATCTGAAATCCAATACTTTTAAAAAACTATGATGTCTTATTGCAATTTGTTCATTGTTAGAGTTTAATTTAAAAAAAAAAACCAACATACTAGTAAGAACATTGCATACTTTTTGCATTCTTATATAAAGTAAATACTAAATGTTCAAAATCACAAACAATATTGTTTTATCTACGAACAAGAACTTACATCAGCCAAAAGTTTCGTCCCATTTCCGGTTTTTGTAGTAAAAGGTAGTTTGTTAAACTCTTCCTGTAAAACAATATATATTTCAAAGGCGAAGGAAAATGGCATGGAAATATGGTACAATAAAATATAAATACAAACGAAAGAACTTATTCGATTATCGTTGCTTTGTACAAAAAGGTCATAACCTTTTGTTGCGCTTCATCTTATAGCAAATTTTACATGTATTTACGAGACGGGAAATAGTAACAATCTTGCACCAATCTCATTGATGTCTCATGAACGTGAACGTTTACCCCATATCTTTTATTCACACCAAATTTAGACAAACAAGGGCGGGCAGTTGACATTAATATCAGCTTAACAAACTAAATGATAAATACACAAACATTAACGTTCGTATTTCATATTTTAATGTGAAAGAGTGAACCCATTTTACGAGTTGCATATGAGATCAGGTTTTTTTTTTTTAAATAGATGATATATTTGCTTGCTGTTTTGCCATAGTGTCGTCTGTTTTTCTTCGACTTATCTTTTTATTAACTTCTTGGTAATGAAACGGTCTGGTATATTATTTGAACGACCGTACTAAAATCATAGTAACTAGAGCAAATGTATTTGCGAGAATATTGTCATTGCTATTTTGGAAGCAAGAAGAGCGATTTTCTAGTGATACTTCTACATTAAGACCTGTTCCACTTTCATATATACGTAATTTCTGTTACTGTAAACGCCTATCATTTATTTATTTATTTATTTATTTTCGCTTTTTAATGTATTTGTATGGCAGGGGTTAGTGATACTTTTTAATGACGTATATTTTTTAATTTTTAATTATTTTTTTTGGGGGGGGGGGGGGGGTAATGATACTTTCCAATGATAATAATTAACTCAAATAAACCTACTTGCAAATAATCAATCCCAATACTCTTTTTTATTTCCTTGAGTCTATTAGAAAGTAGACTGGCATCTAAATCTTGAGCAATAACTCCATAAGCATAACAGGATAGTGCCAGGAGAATTGTTACTTTCATTGTGACCTCCAGTACATTACATGTATTTTTGATGTCATGGTTCAACCTGAAATGGAAATAAGAAAATATGTTATTGAACTTAATACGTTAAGCTGCGCAAATCATCAAAAGAAATGTTACTCTTAGCCTAGGACAAACATGAATACACCTTCGCACCTTTTTTACCCCGCTACAATTATGTTAAAGGTTTAGGATCATTAAAGATTGACTATTACACAGAATTATGATATCTTTTAATGATTGATTGATTGATTGATGTTTAATGCCACTTTCAGCACTATTGTGCTATTTCGTGGCGACCAGTTCTTATTGATGGAGGAAGTCCGAGTGCCCGGAGAGAACCACCGACCTTCCGTCAGAAACTGACAATCCTAGTCAATTAAGATGGGAGTCGAGCTCACCTGCCACGTGCGGGATTCGAACTCACAACCTCAATATTGACAGGCTAGTGATACAGTAGTTCGACTACTTAGATAACTCGGTCTCCGGTTTCACTTGCCTGTCAACACAGAGGTTATGAGTTCGAATGACACACATTGCAAGTGCGTTCGACTCCAATCTTAATTGATTAGGATTGTCAGTTTTCCTACCGAAAGTCGGTGGTTCTCTCCGGGCACTTTGGCTTCCCCCGGCTTCCCCCGGCAATAAAAAAACTGACCACTACGAATAGCCAATAGCGCTGAAATTGGCTAACGTGGCCTTTTGACAATAGCAAGACTGATACACTACAGTGCACGTGGATTATGTCATTTTTGTCTACCCATTGCGAGACTCAGGAAACAACTCCTTTCTGCTTAAATCTAATCTCAGATCTTGTAAATATATGATATACGGGAGGTACATTTCTTTAAGATGCTGTATATGCGCGTCTTATGATGGAAGAAAACACCGGCATGCCTTCTCCATAGAAGTCTAACCGAGTGAGTATTCCTGAAGTATATAATATCACAGACACAAAAAGGCTGCCAAAAGTGTATGATAAAGCAACATTAATGCAGGATATTCAATAACATTGAATGACATCTTGATCTACTATAAAATAGACATGAAAATAATAACCGAGATAGTATTCATCATACAATTAAAATACTAGCCGACAGAGTATTCCAGTATTGTATAATATCACAGGCATAAACAGACCAGCCGATAGTATTTCTGATGTGTATGATATCACAGATACCACAAAAAACTGGCCGACGAAGTAATCATGTGGTATTTAATGTGACATACAAATACAGTCTATAGCCGAAAAAATATTCCGTTAGGATATTATATCACAGACACGAAAAAATTAGCCAAGAGAGTATTCCTTTAGTGTAAATTACCACAGACACAAACAATACTAGCTAAGAGAGTATTCCTGTAGTGTAAATTTTCACAGACACAAACAATACTGATTAAGAGAGTATTCCTGTAGTGTAAACTATCACAGACACAAACAATACTAGCTAAGAGAGTATTCTTGTAGTGTACATTATCACAGACACAAACAATACTTGCTAAGAGAGTATTTCTGTAGTGTACATTATCACAGACACAAACAATACTTGCTAAGAGAGTATTCTTGTAGTGTACATTATCACAGAAACAAACAACACTAGCTAAAAGAGTATTCCTGTAGTGTAAACTATCACAGACACAAACAATACCAGCTAAGAGAGTATTCCTGTAGTGTACATTATCACAGACACAAACAATACTTGCTAAGAGAGTATTCCTGTAGTGTACATTATCACAGACACAAACAATACCAGCTAAGAGAGTATTCCTGTAGTGTACATTATCACAGACACAAACAATACTTGCTAAGAGAGTATTCCTGTAGTGTACATTATCACAGACACAGACAATACTTGCTAAGAGAGTATTCTTGTAGTGTACATTATCACAGAAACAAACAACACTAGCTAAAAGAGTATTCCTGTAGTGTACATTATCACAGACACAAACAATACTAGCTAAGAGAATATTCCTGTAGTGTAAATTATCACAGACATAAACAATACTAGCTAAGAGAGTATTCTTGTAGTGTACATTATCACAGAAACAAACAACACTAGCTAAAAGAGTATTCCTGTAGTGTACATTATCACATACACAAACAATACCAGCTAAGAGAGTATTCCATTCGTGTATAATATCACAGACACAAAACGACTAGCCAATGTTGTATACCTTTAGGGTATAAGTTCACAGAAACAGAGTCGCCAAGAGTTATTCCTTAAGTGTATGTATTTTATCACAGACACAAACAGAATAGACGGGAGAGTAATCTTTTTGTGAATAATATTACAGACACAATTAAATGTAGCATGATTAGCCGAGAAAGTATTCCTTAACTTTTTAAAACTACAGACATAGAAACACTAGCCGAGAGAGTATTCCTTAACTTTATAAAACCACAGACACAAAAAGACTAACCGAGAAAGTCTTAATGTGGGTCTGGATTTCTTTTTTTTTTTTTAATTCTTTAAACCATTTTTCTCCGATCTTTATTTATTTTGTATATTATTCACTAATTTTTATATTTTAGCACCCCATTATTCTCTATTCTTTATTTATTTTGTCTATTTTTTACTATTGTTTATATTTTAACACCCCGTTATTATCTATTCTTTATTAGTTTTGTAATTTTTTTCTCTTTTCTTAGCTTTATTTGTTGTCCTTTATTCTACGCTTTTTATCTATTTCTCTCTATTCTGTAAATCCCATCCAGACCCTCATTAGTCTTTAAAAGTTGTAAAATGCCAAAATGTAGACTAAAAAAAGAATAGGAATTGTCTCTCAGAAAAAACTTTTTGTTCCATAAATGGTAACAAACAACATTATAGAGCTTCCTCATGGGGTTTTTGATTATGTGATTACTTGGCCGTTTCTATAGTGATTATTCGATTACCAGATCAATTATTCCTGATTATTTGCTTATTTGATAATCTAGGATTGTATTTTGATTATTTGATTATCTTGTTTGAAAAAATAATTAATGATTATGTGATTATATTGGCAAAATATTTGTGACTATGTGATTACTTGGACACCCCCATGAGGGGCCTCATTATAAGGATTAGTATAGAGTATGCAAAATAGAAATTCAAAAGATGGTTACAAGTTGTATGTAAGAAGTAAAGATTTAATTAGACCTATTTAAAGGTCAAAATGCTACATGTTATAAAGGAAATGGTTGGTTTATGACGTATCAAGCTTGTAACATTTCCAACCAAAACAATCGAACTAATCTACATTTTCGATGAAAAAAGAGTTTTTGAAATGTTAAAATTAAGACCAAAATGATAAGGCCATAAGTTTCTTCAAAAGGTCGACATTCTTGTCAATAAGATGTGAGAATATAAAAGTACCTGCATATATAACTGTTATAAAATAAAGTGCCATCCATTTTCAACATCAAATGTATCACCATACCTGTATAAATTTCATTTCCTGTTGATATATATTTTGTACAACGTGTGTTTATCACCATTAGTAAACAAATATATTTCGTGTACTTTCATATGTTGATGCGAAGAAAAATATTTAAACACATTACGGATATCCGAACATATGAACTGTAAAAAATGGCCAACCGCGTAAATATTCTTGTACTTTAACATTTAGATCAAAGATACATAACCTATCCTACATCTACCAAAAATCAAATATAAATCGATATAAATGAACTGAAATAAACATCATCAGTAGGTGATAACAGATACGTAAATTGTATGTTCATGGTGATCGCTTGGTGAAAAAGGAATTTATTTTGATAGATAAAAATATAACCGAATGAGAAATTTTCTAAAAGACGTACGTAAGCATAAAAAATGATGAGTGTTATATTTTAACGTTAATTACCACCAGTTAATATAATCAACTAACTTAGCAAACCTTACCTCTTCGGAGTTAACATTTTCGTGTTTATGTACATATAGCTCGTTTACTGTATATTATTGATTATACTGCATAATTATTTAAATGTAGGTAAAAAGGTAAACCATAGTTGTAAATGAATGACTTTAAAAAATATTCCACCCGTCATTGGATTTTGAAATAAATATTGTGTATTGGTAAATACATTTGGATAATTATAATGTATAATGTTGTGTATTTTAAATATCCGTGAGTCTTTTAAACTACGTTTTTGTAGATTCGATAAAGTAAGCACGTAATGAGATGCAAAACAAATTAGTTTAATATTTTATTTACAGACTCTGAGGCGGATCTCAAATAAAATTATACTTCAAAGAATAATTTAACATCTATTTTAATTTTGTCATTTTGAATAAATTTTACACACGTAGCTCTCTCGAATATGGGGAAACATGTAACACCAAATTACAGGATTCCGGCCTACAATCACACTTTTTCTCCAGCTCCAGGTTCCAAATAATGAACTCCGGGCTCTTTTGTGCAATGACTATGCGCTCCAGGCTCTAATGATAGGTTCCGGGCTCCACTGATAGGGATCCGAGCTCGCTCCAAAGGTTGAGATCCGGCCTTATGATACATGGGCTCCAGGCTCAAAAGGAACACATGAAGGCGGCGTTATTACCAAAACCCCGTAGTTAAAAGCCCCTCAAATTTGCATAATTTCAAGACTATATTTCAGTGAATGTCCTGCTGTAAAAATAACTTCTCATTGAGTTAACAGATCCTGTTTCAAATTTTGGCACCCGTCGTGTTGCTAATGCAAGTACAGAGGTTAAGCTGGTCATCACATGTTATTTTATTATAACAACTGACTCTACGATTTTAAGATAACAACACGGTTTACGAGGTATGTCAAAGTGTACGCTCGAGAATGTAGTTCACACTTTTATATAAAGTAATACTATAAGCCGTAGCAAAACATACAAACTACATTTAATATGATATTATTAGGAATCAAGTTACAAGAAAGAGCTTACTACACAAGGTTCTTTTATGGTTGTGTTGCTGTCTCTTTTTCGTACACCTACATATACATGTACATCCCATAATGCGAAGAATATCCTCGTGGATTAATCTATAAACTGCGTTATTTTGTTGATAAAAACTAAAAATGGTAGTTTAAATCGACATTCTATTTCAATATACTATCAAATTGGTGTACACTGAAATTAAGAAAAAAAAGAAGGTATGACGTCTGCTAATTTTTCTACAACCAGCCATCCAATCTCAATAACTGAGAGTATGGATGAAGGGGTCCTTCCATTCTGTATTCTTTAACAGTTTGTGGCATTTTTCTTTATCTTTAAAAATAATGCCTTTTCTGTTAAATTCTCAAGATAACCATTTTACTATCAGATTTATTTGTTATTACATGATTTCTTTATTCTGTACATGGTTCATTTCTGTAATCAGTATTTGGTACCCAATTCTTTAATTTTTCACAATTATTCTTTATTCTTTTGCACCCAATTATTGTCTATTCTTTATCTTTTTTGCTCATTTTTCTCTATTCAGTAATTTTTTGCACATTATTCTCTCTTCTGTAAACCCCATCAAGATCCTCATAACTTTAATGTCGTACATGTAGTGCATGTTAGTACCCAGTATTATTTATAAAATGTCATTCATACACGCACTTGCACTGGTCACCTTCTACATTTCTAGTACAGTTTACAACGATAACTTTTGTTTATTATGACACTGAAGCATCTAAAATTTAGTAAAGATTGACCGTATATATTAAAAGCTGTAATGCTTTAAAAAAACCAACACCCGTATGTAAAAATAAGTAACAGGGAAACTAGAGGGTAAAATCAAATACACAGAGCAGATAAACTGTGATAGGATTGCTTCCGTTTAAAAGTAACTGTAGACACTAAGCCAGTCGTAAGCGATTGGGCTAATGGAGTACTTAAGCATAGTTGCTGTTAGAATACTGACTTGTAACACAGAGGTCCTTAGTTCGAGTCCCGGAGGAGACAATGGGATTTTCTAATAAGAATAATGCTTACCGGTTACAAAACTTCTAAAAAATCCGAAATACAAAAAAAATCGACATCTTTTTGGCGTGATGAAGATTGCTGTCTATTTAACGTTTTACACCTTATTTCCTAGTATTCAAATCTATAGGTCACCATTTTTACGATAGGTTAGCGAGGCTACACCTCGTACAATTATATGTCATCTCACTGTACTGGATGTATAATGTTAACTGCCTCAGATGTGGTTTGTGTGACATGCACCTATAAAGCCATTATATATCAAAACATCAATTACCTAGAATTTGACATTTTTTTCCACAAATCAAATATAGCTATTGTTAAGTTAATGAGAAATATAAAAACAGTAAAGGCTGGGATGTTTTTCCCCAAAAAATAAAATACTACTTAGTACATACATGTAGATAGTCAGTATAAAAGACATGTTTGAAAACACGCTTATAGAGACTACCACAGCGTCGGGTCAAATGTTAAAGCAGGGAAAAGCAAAGTTGTTTCAACGTTAACTCTTTAAGTAATTGATTGCTGCTTGCTTAATGTCCAGTGGCAAATATTCCATGCATATTCAGGATGATCACACCCTTTAACGTTATAAATCCTCTAGTAATTAGCTTATTCCGAGGTGTAAATAGCATTTTGACCTCAAAGCTGTATGGATTTTATTTTATAGTTAAGATAACCAATACTATTTTGAAAATATTGCAGTTATTGAAATCTTTACTAGATCAATTACAATAAAGCGTTGTACCTATTTGAGAAAAGCATTGAAAACTATTATATTTATCATTTGTTAGTTAGGGAACGACTTCCCAACTTTGAAGAGGTAGGGGAGGCTGTGTTTTTTTTTTTCATTCTGAAATTCTCTTACCACGCAACATCACATCATTTATGTTTTTGCCGCGCAAAGCCTTGACACTTTTTCAAGAACTTAACAGTAAATTTATTGGCAAAGTTAAATGGTCGTTCTCTTATACCATCATTGTGTTGTTCCCTCGATGCTAGCAGTATTTGTTTGTTACATAATATATAAAGTGGGATTTCCCATACAAGACACAATATCATGCAATCTTTTGCAAATAGGTTTACATTTATTCAATATTATATTACATGAAATGGCAAATATTTAAACTTTGCATTTAATGCAAGGTTTAACTCATTCACCGCACGTAACTGATTAGCAGTTAATCTCTAACCTATGCTTTAACCTTAATCTCTAACCTATGACTGTAAACAAGGCAAAAATCCTTGTATATACAAATGTACACTATTATTATATTGTTAAATACACAATATAAAACTTACCGTAAGATGTGTCAATATGATTGTCATCCTTTGACAACATAACACTCAGACAGGTACATTCACACAAAAGGATATATATTTGTATATAGGAATTTAATTTACTTCATGAAATTCAATGGACTGTGACAAAACGTACTTTAAAAGATAAGTAAACACGGTTATTCCCCATAAAGTAAAGACCTTTAGATTTTTGATAGATTTCATCGATGTAGAAATTTACTAAGTATACGTAGTAAGTGTTGTCTTGGGTTAAAATCCAGTGATTATCAGATATGTTATATTTACGATTAATCAAAATATTCACCAAGCATGACAAAAAAAAATAACGTTTATACATCAATTCATGTAAATACATGTTGTTATGATATGTGCAACTTTTTTGCAGGTGTATATATCATTAATTTGCAAACATTTCACAATTTACCATAAGATGTGTATTTACATTTATTAATGCATACTTTATTGAGAGAGAGAGAGAGAGAGAGAGAGAGAGAGAGAGAGAGAGAGAGAGAGAGAGAGAGAGAGATCGGTTTGATTTAATTTCTGTTTAAATAACACGTATTTCCGTCATAACGTTCAGAAGTTACACAAGAGACAAACAGTTCGAAAAGCTCAAATTTAAAACAGGATTTAGGACATGAACACTAACAAGGTTTAAACAGAAAATCCAAAACCGTTTACGTCCTGAACATGCATGAAATATTTGCCACTGGACGTGAAACAGCTTATCTTTGCAATCCGTGAAAAACTTAATTTTTTTCGTGATAGTAGTTTTAAAAACACATATTTACAGACAAAGGTATGATGATTTGAATCATGCCAATACCGAAACACTGGCTACTTAGTAAATGATACAGGGAGATTAATAATCCAACAGCTGTCAGCTAAACCGACCTAAAGTGGTAATAATCAAATGTTTTGACTTTTCGTAGAACAACACTTGTTTTTTCCGAATTATTGTCATCATGGTATGCATGGGACCAAGTTGGAAATCAAAAGTAAAAAATGAAAATGAGAGCATTGATTAAGGCGACAGTAGTTAATATGTGATCAAATCTCGTAAATCGATTACGAGAGACAAATCAAGGAAACAAACACAAACCGAGGGAATCGCTTGAACCCCAAAAAGAGCTAAACCAACATGACCTATAGTTGCTACCTTCAACGTCATTTGGTCTCTGGTGGAGAGTTGTCTAATTGGCAATCGTCCCATATCTTCTTGTTTTTATTTAAACACATTCTATATGTGCCTGTCCAATGCGAACAGAAGTGAAAAAAACAGTGTGTTTCAATTTGAAATATTTGGGGGTTGATTTAGACATTGAGCTTTAAAGCAAATATTTCTGTATTGTATTGAAAACAAATGGTTTTTAAATCAAGTCGAGAATAAATCTTTGTCCCAATAACAAAAACACAATGCCCCCTACCCCACAAAAGATGGATATTTGGTGCTTTATTTTTAAAATTCATTTCTTTTGTAACGCACAAGATCTAGGAGTTTCAAACATTTTCTTTTTCTTGTTTTCCCTTGTTCACTGTACACGATAAAGATAAAGGGAATATAAAAAATGAGGGTAAGGGGAAATAAATGTTGAGTTTTAAATAAAATTTCTTGTTTCTGTATAATTAATTATTAAAATCAAATGGTTTTTGAATACAGTGGGATCTACATCAATGAGACAGTAATCCGACGATAAAAAAAAACCAAAAATGACGCATAGTGGAAAG